GTAGGTGTTCTTTACGCCCCTACATCGTTCCTTCCAAACTATAGAACCCTTTTCTTCCCTAAAAACCCAGTTTTGAAGCTCAAAACATCAGTCCTCACCACATGCTGCTTTGCTTTAAGGCAGTCAGCTGCAGACCATAGGGTCCTCCTCCTTTCCATAATGACTGAGACCTGGATCACTGGCATTCTCTCCAAAACTCCTGCTGTGGGTTTAAGTGGCTTCAGGATCCTTATAGATAATCCTGACGATTCCCTGGACTCTCAATTTGGTTCCTCCACTCCTCCAACAACCCTGTCCCCACCATATCTCAGCCCCCTCATCCTCTCCTACAGTAGGTCATACAGAGATTACCAATAACTGCATCTCCTTTTATTCCCAGGAATGCATACTACTTTATTTACACATTTTAAATTTAAAATCTGAAAAAAAAAACCCTATTATAGCAAGCAATTGATTTCACATCTCCTTCATAAATTCACATTCAAGTAATTTCTTTCCAGCATACTAATTTTAGTACCCAGACTCCAATTAGCCCTCAACCCGAGTGGGACCCAATTTATTTTATCTGACCACCTATTCGTGCTGCTCCATCTCCCTCCTGTCTTAGCTTCTCTGTTATCCATGTGGCACTACATAGTTCAAAATTATAAACACTTTCTTGTATTCACTCAGAAAACTCATGCTCTTAACTCTGTTTTGTTGTATGCATTTGGTAAGAACCCAACTCTGGTAAAAATCAACTCTCTTACTCACTTCATTTACTCTGAACATCTGTTCACACAGCTGACCGGTAGCTAGTGAAAATATACAACCGTGATAACTGGCTTATATTTAATTTCATGACCACTGATCTCATGTGGTCCTGGTCCATTCATTTTCCCTATCTCCTAGAATTACGATACTCTCTTGCCTCAGATATCTAACATTCTCCTTTTGGGCTATTTCACTGAGACAAAAGAAATACCAAAGTTCCTCCTCTACACTCAAGGACATTCTTTCAGAAATTTCTCCTTTTGTCCTGCCTCACCAATTTCTTCCTTTCTGCCAAATCATTCCTATGAGCATGTAAACATACTTTAATAGCTCCTATCAAAAGAGGAAGGAGAGAGGGAAGGAGGGAGGGAAGGAAGGAAGGAAGGAAGGAAGGAAGGAAGGAAGGAAGGAAGGAAGGAAGGAAGGAAGGAAGGAAGGAAGGACGGGGAGGCAGGTGTGGGGAAGAGGGAGAGCTTTTATCTTTACCTCTCCAGTGAGTCTGCTCGGGCCTTTGTTGCTACAAACCACAGTGGTCAATTCTCCCCTCTGCCCAGTATTTGACCGGTCATCCTCGCCTGCTTGAAACATGTTCTTCAGTTGAAATCTGTAGCACAGATCTCTTGTCTGCCTCTTGCCTCACTGACCACACTGTTTCCGTTTCCTCTGCTGATACACTCCACTCCCTCCGGCTTCTAGACCAGTGGTTTTCAATTTGGGATGCATGTAAGAATCACCTGTTGCCATTATGACCACGTGGAAGAACTTAGAGGTTATCATGCTAAGTGAATTAAGTCAGAGAAAGACCTATGAAAGACCTTATCAAATACCATATGATTTCACTTAGATGTGGAATCTAAAAAATAAAATAAATAGATAAAACAAGCAAAGCAGAAACAGACCCATAAATTCGGAGAACAATTTGTTGGTTGTCAGAAGAGAGGGGGTTGAGGGGCTGGGCAAAATCAGTGAAGGGGAATTGGGGCACAGGCTTCCAGTTACAGAACGAATGCACGGTGGGGAGAAAGGGAACAGCCTGGGGAATATAGTCAATGGGACTGTAGTACCAGTGTATGGGGACTGCTGGTCGCTACTCTTGTGGTGAGCACAGTATAATGTGTATTTATGTATATGTATATAAACTTGTTGAATCACCATGTTGTACACCTGAAACTAATGTAACTGTGTCAGTGACACTTCAATAAAAAAAAAAAGAAGAATCATCTAGTGAACTTTTAAAATGCATTAATGCCCAGGTCTCAACTAATTAAATCAGAATCTCTGGGGGCAAGGTGAGAGGTTTAGGCAATTTTGTTAAACATCCCGGGGTGATGCTAATGTGCAGCCAGGATGAGAAGTACGGCTGTGAACACAGGAGGGCCGCATGGCTTGTCTCAGATCTTGAACCTTTTCCATCTGCACTTCCCTAGGTGATCCCATCCAATCTCTCAGCTTCAGATACCTCAACACCTGGTACCTTCTAAATGTATGTCTTCAGCCTACACCTTTCTCCCGAACTCTGGAATTCCATTGGTAACTCTCTGTTGTCACCTCCTTTGGGATGTATAATCTCATTTCCAAAGTTAACATGTCCTTCTGCTTTCATCCCCATCTCAGTAACTAGCAATTCTCTCTCTCCAGCTACATGGACCCACACAGAGTAAATGTTGTTATCTCGGAGTCATCATTATGACTCTCTTTCTTTTATGTCTCGTCTCCAAACCATCAGCCAATTCTGTTTCAAAATAAATCCAGAATCTGATTGCTTATCTCACCACTCTCAATGTTCAGCTCTGATTTGAACCCTTATCTTTTTTCTCTGCATTATTACTACAGTTCATATTTGGTCTTCTTGCTGCTAGTCTTTACCAGGACAGCACAGTGATCCTTTTACAGCGTTATTTAGATGATGTTACACCATTGCTTAGAACTGTCCAATGGCATCAGTGCCCTGAACTCCCTTTATGATATGACTCCCTGCGCCTTCCATTCTCTCTCTTACTGTTTCTACTTGAGCACATCAGGTATTGTACTGTTCCTGAAGCATGCCACATACACTCTCGCTTTTGTACTTGGCATTCTGTCTGCCTGGAACATTCTTCCCTCAAGTATCTCCCCTGACTCATTCAAATGCCATCTCATCACCATGGTCCTTCCTTGGTCACCCTGTATAAAATAACACCTCTCTACCTATACTCAGTATTACCCTTCTTTGCTTTATATGTGTTTGTTTTTAGTCTCATTTGAACCAAACACAAACTCCTTGAGGACAGGATCTTTAAGCATGGCTTGGTTCTTGGCATGTTATAGGTACTCAGTAATCACTTGCTGAATATTTGAGTCAAGCTGGGGAGCTAAGGCTTCTGGCCACAACTCCTGTGGTGCTATTGTAAATAACAGAACATCAAAGGACCAGATAAGGCTTTTGGAAACAACATATACCTCAGAAACCTTTCCCCTTGCCCCTTTCGTTAGGATTATCCCTTTGATTTGGGTGGGGAAATGAAATTGGGACGAGACTAAAAATGATATTGCAATACTGTGGCTTAAAATAAATCATTGTGAGATCTGCATTCTCTGAGTCACCCTGAGGCTGGAACATTTTCTGCTTGCATTGAAATACTCTCTTGTCTCTTCTAAATTCCCTGAGACGCCAAAGGGCCACAGCTCCTGAGAGATAAATCCTAGTATGGGCACCAAACATTCATCAGATAAGTAAAATCAAACAACATAGTGCAAGGGAAAAATGACATCAAAATATATTTTGATTGTAAAAAATAAGTCTCACTAAAGGCCAAATTTAGTTCTGTACCTTAACTAAAAATTTTAAATTACAAACAGAACTCCACTCCTCCTCCACCACCCCCCAATTAAGGAAATGAAGCTGGACTTCTTGAAAAACTTTATAATCCACAGAGCAAAAAAAGAAAGGCCTTTTGCCTGTCAATTCTGAAAATCTCTTCAGGGCTAAAGCTGTGAATGTTGTAACCTGAGAGAGGAAGATAATAGTCGTAGTTGGGACGCCTGGGTGGCTCAGTTGGTTAAGTGTCTGCCTTTGGCTCAGGTCAGGATCCCGGAGTCCAGTCCCTCCTTGGGCTCCCTGCTCAGTGCAGAGTCTGCTTCTCCCTCCCCCTCTGCTTCTCCCTCTCTGTCAAATAAATAAATAAAATCTTAAAAAAAAATAGTAGTAATTAGTTACTCAGAGTTAGCCAGTCCCTTGGCCAAACTAAGATCTCTCTCTCACACACACATAAACATCACAGAGTTAAATGTTGCATGCTGAAATTTGATACCCCTTATTTACATGTTAGCAACTTACTGATCTTCCATAACAATACTTTTAACAAGTTCCATCTACTCCATTTATTTGCAAAATCCCTGTAAATAGTTTATCCAGGCCTTTTCTAGACTGCCTGGATAATTAATCTAATTATTTACAACAGTTTCAAGCTCTTAACTATAAGCAAAGGTTATCACTACCTTTATTCTACAACTTTAGGGCAAAATCTTTAAAGATTAAAAAAAAGAAGAAAAATTCTTTTGAGAGTCACGTCGATTCGTGAACACAGCATACTGTCTCCTACACACACTAGATGTCACTGCATGACCTGAAATATTGGCTGTAATTTCATCTATTTCTTTACAATCTTTATAGGCAAGATAGTAAAGGTAAAAAATAATCTCGAGGTATGTTTCCCAAAAATCAGACACCTTTGCTTGTATTTGGTCAATTGCATTCATAAAAATAAATTCTATACATTAAACTAGGAAACATTGTAGGTTTCCTTTTTATCATCAGCTCCCCCTCCCCAAATTCTAATATTAAATAGAAATGTTTGCATTTGATGAGTAAATAATGGTCTCTATGTTAAAAGATACTGGGAGAGATTGGAAGAAAATAAAACTTAGGGAATGGGCTTAACGAGTTTCAAATTCAGCATAGTTATAAAGTGCCCTGTATTGTGTCAAACATCAGCAGGCACCAGGAGGCCTACACATGAAGGAGGTATAAACAAAAATTATGGGAACATAGAGAAAGAGACCCATAAAGGATTTAGGCAATGGACATCAGCCTCAAAAGAAATAGAGCTAATCTTCATTTGAAAAACTCATATATGAATATACATATTTGAGGTGGTTTATTACTTGTTCTTCCTTAGCCTAGAGTGACATTTATCAATTATATTTAGTGAGATGTGAATAGGTGTTCAGCAGAAGAGAATTCCATGGTCAAATAAATTTGAGAAATATTTGGCTATTTAAAAAAATCAACAGCCTTGTTTTTAATGCAGAATTCCTCAGCTTCTACTATCTGACAGTGGATTTTAAGTCTCTAAAAGGGAAATGCAGTACCTATCATGTCTTATTTAACAATCTGAAGGAGATAGAAATGTGAAGATTTAAGATTTATGGCTTTTAATATCATATGGATTCAAGAAAAAAAAACCCATGATCTTATTTTTACTTAATTACTGGAAATTGATAGATCTGAAAAGACTATCTAAAAAAGCTAAGATCTTTTTTTTTGTTTGATTTCTCCTTCTTGTAACTAATTTCAATGTAAGAACAAACAAATGTTTTATGCAGTACAATTCAAAACTCATATCAATTATTTAGCTGAAACAAACCAAAAGAAACTTGGGAGAAATTTCATATGCACAGTAAATTTTAAGCTATGCTCCCAGATTTCCTAATGGTTAAATAGTTGATTCCCCTCTACGACTAAGAGTTCTGTCAAAAAGGTTGAAGAAGCGTTCTCTTAGGAGAAACCATGGTTTATGTGAGCTTGTTGAGCTTAAAGAAAATGGGACGATGCTATGTCTTGCAATAGAGGCTGTTAATGAAGCTTGGGGTGAGTCAAACTCTAAAATCTTGTCTGAACATTGGCGGATGATCAGTGCTGGGTATCTTCCATTTGCCCCATACTGTTCTACTCCAAGCCCTCCTCCACCTTGCTTTCTTCTGCTGCAGACTGATTTATATGGACAACATCAACAGGGCTGCCATAACCTCTGGTTTCCTGTCAGTTGAGTCAATGGTAGCTTTATCTGGCAAAAGACCAAGAAAGGAAAAAATGTGAGGTCAGGATATTTGTTTTCCTGGCTCCTTCCCTGCAATGTTACTTGACACTAACTTTTCCCTCAATGGAAGCTCATTGTACCTCTCAAGTCAGCCTTCGGTGAGTTTTGACAAACATATATACACAGAAAAACACCATCACCGACAAGACAAAAACAAAAAATTCCTGATGTCCCCTTTGCATTCCATCAGTCCCTCCTGGCCCCAGGAAATCATTGTTCTGTTTTTTTTGGTGTTATGAATTAGCTTGCATCCTCTAGAATTGTGTATAAATAAAACCAAGTATCAGGTACTCTTTGTGCATTGGGTTTTTTTTTTTCACTTAGCATTTTGAGATTTATCCAATTCATTGTTTGCAGCAATAGGTTTCATTGTGTTTTTTGTTTTGTTTTCTGAAAAGTGTTCTGTTGTATGCATAGAAAAAAAATTATTTATGCATTCATATCTTGACGGAAATTAGGATTGTTTTTAGGTTTGGGCTACAATGACTTAAGCAGCTTAGTATTCTTGGATTAGTCTTTTTGTGGACAAATGTTTCACTGGCCTGGGTAAATGCCAAGGATCAGAAGAGATTAGTCCTATAGTAGGTGAGTGTCCAACATTTTAACAAACTGCCAAACAGATTTTTAAAGTAGTTGCAACATGGTACAGTCCTACCAGTGGTATATGATAGGAGTTCTAGCTGTCCTCATCTTCACCAACACTATTTTCCGTCTTTTAAATTTTAGCCATTACAACGAAGGAAAAGAAAGAAAACAAAAGCCAAATAATCAGGAAAGGAAGTAAAATTGTATCTATTTTGTGACATGACTGATTAGGCTGTCTAGTGATATCTCATTGTGATTTTAATTTGAATCTTCCCAACTGAGATGTTAAGAATCTTCTTCCATTGAACTTATTGGTCATTTGTACATTTTTCTTGAGGGGTGTCTATTCAAATCTTTTGTCCATGTTTTTTAGGTTTCTTCTGACCTTCTTATAAGGTTAGAGTTGTTAGATACATAAAACTTGTTAGAGTTTTATATATTTTATATATTTTATATATGCATATATATTTCAGGTATGCATATTTTCTCCCATTATGTGGCTTACCTTTTTGTTTTGCTCCAGGTGTCTTTCAGAGAGTAAAAGTTTTAAATTTGGATAAAGTCCAATGTAACTTTTTTTTCATTTGTGCCTTGTGTTTTTAGTGTGTTTCCAAAGAATTCTTTGCCTACATCAAGCTCACAAAGATTTTTCTCCTATATTTCCTTTGGTAAATGTTATGATTTTGTTTTTTGTTTTTTTAAAGATTTTATTTATTTATTTGAGAGAGAGAGAATGAGAGAGCATAAGAGGGAGGAGGGTCAGAGGGAGAAGCAGACTCCCTGCCGAGCAGGGAGCCCGATGCGGGACTCGATCCCGGGACTCCAGGATCATGACCTGAGCCGAAGGCAGTCGCTTAACCAACTGAGCCACCCAGGCGCCCATGATTTTGTTTTTTACATTTACATCAATAATCTATTTCTTGTTACTATTTTGGTATACTATAAAGTAAGGTTCGATATTTGTTTTTCCTCATACATTTATCCAGTTGCCCAGCAACAACTTTATGAAAGCTTTTCTTTTTCCACTGTGTTGCTCTGGAGCATTTGTTGAAAATCAATTCACTATACATACATATATATATATATATATGTATGTATGTATGGATCCATATCTAGACTCTCTATTCTGTTCTGTTGTTCTTTATGTCTATACTTTTGCCAATACCATACATAAGATCGTGTATGTCCACTAAATTTGTTCTCTTTTTTAAATTGTTTTGAGTATTCTCGGTTGTTTAGAATCATCTGATCAGTTTATATTTTAAAAGTGTCTTTGGGAAATTCCTGTTGGAATTGTATTGAAAAAATATATATATATAAATTTAGAGAAAGTGCCATTTTAATAATACTGAGAATTCAAATGCATGAATGTGGTATATCTGTTCGTTTATTAGGCCTTTTTAATTTCTCTCAGTGATGTTCAGTGCTTTTAAGTAAAGAGATCTTGTTTATCTTTGTTAAAATTATCACTAAGTATTGTTTGCTATTAGTACACAAAAGTTTGGTTTTTGCATATTAATCCTTGATCCTCTGACCTTATAAAATTCACTCATTGTGTCTAGTACTTGTTTTTTAAATTCTCTGGTCCTATAAAACTAAACAATTCATCTGCTAAGAGAAATAGTTTTATTCTTTCTTTGTGAACTTTATAACTTTTATTACGTTTCTTGCTTTACTACAATAGCCAAAATGGCCAGTACAATATCGAATAGAAGTCATGAGAGTACATGCTGGTCTTGTTTCCACTCATAGGGAACAGTGTTCACAAGGGTGTTGACTGTAAGTTTTTTTGTAGATGTCATGTATCAATTTGAGAAAGTACCCTTTTATTTCTAGTTTCTGAGAGTTTTTATTAGAAATTGGCAATTCAACACATATTATATCAAGAATGCATCTCTCCAAATAATATGTTGGTCTTTCTTATTCTATTATCCTGGTGAACTACAATGACATTTTTAAATTTTAAAACCAAGCTTTCATTCCTGGGATAAACTCTACTGGATCCAAAATATTTTCCTTTTTGTATCTTCTTGGCTTTGATTTACTAATATTTTATAAAAGATTTTTTTCATCTATGTTTATAAGGAATATTAGTCTGTAATGGTTTAATTTTTGTAATGTCTCATCAGGTTTCAACATTTGGATTATGTTGGCCTTATAAAATGAGTTGGGAAATGTTCCCTCTTTACTATCCTTCTATTAGCTGAAAGATTTTGTGTAAGATTGGTTTTAGTTCCTCCTTAAATTGTGATAGAATCCACAGTGAAATGATCTGAAATTTTGTGGGTGAGAAGATCTTTTGATTTAAAAAATTCACTTTTAGGGGCACCTGGGTGGCTCAGGTCATGATCTCAGGGTCATGAGATTGAGCCTCGAGTTGGGCTCCACGCTGGACATGGAGCTGCCTAAGATTCTCTCTGTCCCTCTCCCTCTGCCCCTCCCCACCCTGTGCTCTCTCTCTTTGTCTCTCAAAATAAAATAAAATAAAATAAAATAAAATAAAATAAAATAAAATAAAAATAATAAATTCACTTTGAGTAGATATAGACCTAGGAAGATTTTCTGTTTCACATTGTATCAATTTTTGACAAGTTATATTTGTCAATATTTTGTCTATTTCATTTAAGTTGTAAAAATTTTGGAATAAGGGGCCCCTGGGTGGCTCAGTGGGTTAAGCAGCTGACTTCAGCTCAGGTAATGACCTCCGGGTCCTGGGATCGAGCCCCACATCAGGCTCCCTGCTCAATGGGGAGTCTGCTTCTTCCTCTCCCTCTGCTGCTCCCCCTGCTTGTGCTCTCTCGCTTGCATGCACTATCTCTCAAATAAATAAAATCTTAAAAAAATTTTTTGGAATAAAACTTGTTGACAATATTTTATTATTTTTCTTTTAATATTTGTAGGATTTTTTCTTTTTTTTTTTTAAAGATTTTATTTATTTATTTGACAGAGAGAGACACAGCGAGAGAGGGAACACAAGCAGGGGGAGTGGGAGAGGGAGAAGCTGGCTTCCCACGGAGCAGGGAGCCCGATGCGGGGCTCGATCCCAGGACCCTGGATCATGACCGGAGCCAAAGGCAGACGCTTAACGACTGAGCCACCCAGGTGCCCCGGATTTTTTCATTTCTAATATTGCTGAATACTCCCCCCCTCACTAAAACAGTGGTAAGTTTTGCTTGATATTCGTCAACTTTGTTGATATCTTCAAAGAACCAGATTTCCATGTTAAATTTTCCTTCTCCTTTCTATTTCATTGATTTCTGCTCTTGGTTTTATTATCTCCTGACTTCTACTTTTTTGGGGCTTATTTTGCTCTTATTTTTCTAATTTCTTCAATAGAACTGTAGGTCATTCTTTTTTGGGCCCATCTTTTCTTATAGCATTTTAAAGATTAAAGTGTCCCCCTCAACAGTGATTTTGCTACATCCCACATATTTTGATATATTGTTTTCTCATTATCACTCAGTATGAAAATTTCATTTTCTTTGTGTTTTTCCAATTACACATGATTATTTAAAAGCTGGCTGTCAAATTTCCAAATATTTGGGATTTCCCTAGATATTTCATTGTAACTGAATACTAAATTATCTTATGATCAGAAAATATGTTCTATAATATTTGAATACTTTTAAATTTAATGAAACTAGTTTTAGAGCCCAGCATATGGTCTATCTTAATGAATGTATCACATGCACTAAAAAAGTGTATTCTATACTTATTATGGTAGTATTCTATAAATATCAATTGGGTCAAGATGGTTGCAGCTTAATTTCTGAGTATTCAGAACTCTGCTACTTTCTCCACTTTTACACAAACATTGTTTCCTTTGTGTCTTTGTTGTTATGCTCAATTCGTTTTCTATTCCCAGTTGGGAAGAGAGATTTGGTTGATTCATCTAAGAGCCCATGGTCTCAGGCTCTCCTTTAGTTTTTTTCTGTGGACCACTTGTACCCACCCATTATTGGATCTTGCAAACCCATTCATAAAGTCTTAGCTTATCTTCTCCAGTTGCTAGACTGAGCTTGTGGGAGAGTACCTGTTAGTTGATTTGGTATTCTCATGTCCTTCAGATGCCCTGTTGCTTTCCTCTTCTACTTCCTGCACAGATGCTAATGCTACATTGGCCTTGTAGCTGTCAGTGGTTTGTCCTAGAATTTAGGGTTAATGGGGATATTTTGTCACCTTGTTTTGTTGTAGATACTGCCTTTGGGTTAGATGTTCATATTTTAATTGTTCTCTGCTTTAATGGGAGAATTTGATAAGATATACAAACTATTTCACCACCAGCATCACCCTCCCAGAATCCTTTAAACTCTTAAAATTTTACTTATGTTTCCTCCGTTATGTGTAGTTTACCATTTTAGTCACTTTTTTACAATTAATTTTTAAACTGGAATTGGAATTTTATTTTTCCCCAAACAACCAGTTTTCCTGGCTCCATATATTATAAAATTCATCTTTGGATTTGAAATTTTCGATTAATATAGAAATAAGCATAGTATGGTTTGGATCTGTTTCTGAGTTTTCTAAAATGCTTGTCTGGCCTTTTCTTTCATTAGTACTGTATAGTATTAAGATACTAGTGGATTGAGTTAACAGATATTTTCTTTGTAACTTTACATTTATTCATAAGTGAGATTAGTCTGGGGTTTATTGTTGGTATTGTCCTTCTAAGGTTGGCGTGTTAGGGTGAAAACATATTTTCGAAATACAAAATGTTTAAGGAGGCTCTCCACCTTTATCTTGCACAATTTAGGGAACATGAGATCATTTGTTACTTCAAAGTCTGATTTAGCTCATGAGTAAAATGCTTTGGGACCAGTATCTTTCTTGAGTAAAATTTTAAATTATTTTTCTAATATAGTACCTGATTTCTGCTAGGTTTTTTTATTCTTAAGTGAATTTTGATAATTTACATTTATCTAACAAACCAACTACCCTTTAAAATGTATTTGCATGGAATTGTACACAATATTCTCTTAGAATTTTGAAAACTACCTCTAGATCATAGTTTTCATGGTTGCTATAATAAATTGTAACAAACTTAGTGACTTAACACAACATAGATTTATTACCTTATAGTTTTGAAGTCCAAAATGGGCCTCAGTGGGCTAAAATCAGGGTATTGGCAAGATTGTTTTCTTTTCTGGAAGCTCTAAGGAAGAATCCATTTCCTTCTTTTCAGCTTATGGAAGCCATCCACATTCTTTGGCACATGGCCCTCTTACCCTGTCTTCAAAGCCAGCAACAATGATTAGGGTTCTTCTCAGATTGTATCACTCTGACCTCTTCTGCCTCCCTCTTCCCCCACTTACGGACCCTTGTGATTACATTTCCCACCCAGGTAATCCAGGATAATCTTCCTCTCCTAAATTCAACTGGTTAGCAAAGTTAGGTTGTTTTTTTTTTTTTTTAAGATTTTATTTATCTATTTGACAGAGAGAGAGAGACACAGCGAGAGAGGGAACACAAGCAGGGGGAGCAGGAGAGGGAGAGGCAGGCTTCCCGCGGAGCAGGGAGCCCATGCGGGGCTCGATCCCAGGACCCCGGGATCATGACCTGAGCCGAAGGCAGACGCTTAACTACTGAGCCACCCAGGCGCCCCTGCAAAGTTAGTTTTATCTGTAACCTGCCCCTTTGCCATGAAAAGTAATATAGCCACAGGTTCCAGGGATCAGGACACAAACCTATTTTTGAGGGAAATTATTCTGCTTTCCCCACTGATTATAAAATTATTCTTTTAAATTAACTTTTATAATAATTACATTGCGTCGCAGTAAAAAAAAATGTACTGAGGATTTTTTTAGTGTTAATTATTCAAATGCTATTTATTCAGTTTCTGTTACTTTTATTATGAGAAATCAATTTATATTTTAGTCTAGATATTGTCTTATTTATGGGACAGAATTTATTTTGATATATGACATGGAATAGGAATCTTAATGGACTTCATTTAATCCAAACAATTTTCCCAGCACCATTTATTCCATAATTCATCCTTTTTCCTATTGATTTATAATAGTTCTTCTATCTTCTCAAGTTCTTAAGCATGCCAGAGTATTATCTAGGTCATGTGTTCTATTTTGAATGAAAATTGGCCTCTATCTTACACCATACACAAAAATCACCTTAAAATAGATTAAGGACTTAAATGGAAGGCCTGAAATGGTTAAACTTTTAGAAGAAAACAGAGGCAGTAAGCTCCCTGACATTGGTTGGAACAATGATTTTTTGCATTTGACACCAAAAGCAGAGGCAACAAAACCAAAAACAAGTGGGACCACATCAGATTAAAAAGCTTCTGCACAACAAAGGAAATAATAAATGAAAAGACAACTTATGGAATGGGAGAAAATATTTGTAAATAATTTATCTGATTAAGGTTTAATATCCAAAATATACAAGGAACTCATATAACTCAATAACAAATAAATAAGCCATTAAGAAATGGGCAAAGGACCCGAATAAACAATATTCAAAGAAGACATACAAATGGCTGACAGGCATGTGAAAATGTATTCAACATCACTAATCACCAGGGAAATGCAAATCACAACCACAATGAGATATCACCTCATACCTGTTAGAATGGTTATTATCCAAGTCAGGGGCACCTGGGTCACACAGTCTGCTGAGCATCCGGCTCTTGGTTTCAGCTCAGGTCGTGATCTCAGGGTCATTAGACCGAGCCCTGCTTGAGATTCTCTCTCTCTCTCTCTTCCTCTGCCCCTCTCCTTGTGCATGTAAACTCTCTCTCTCCCTCTAAAAATAAAGAAATAATCTTTTTAAAAAAAGTCAAAAGATAGCAAGTGTTGAAAGGATATGGAGAAAAGGAAACCCTTGTACACTGTTAGTAGGAATATAAATTGGTATAGCCATTATGGAAAACAGTGTGGAGGTTCCTCAAAAAATTAAAAATAGAACTACCATATGATCCAGCAATCTCACTTCAAGATATATATAAATCCAAAGGAAATAAAGTCACTATCTGGAAAAGATATCTGCATTTTTTTTTAAAGATTTATTTATTTATTTTAGAGAGAGAGCATGAGCAGGGGGAGGGGTGGGGGGGGTGGGAGACTGACACGGGGATCAATTGCATGACCCTGATCATGACCTGAGCTGAATCAAGAGTCGGATGTTTAACCAACTGAGCCACCCAGGCACCCCAAAGATATCTGCATTCTTATGTTGACTGCAGCATTAGGCACATCATTAGACATCATTAGTGAGTAGGACATGGAGCTTGTTGGTGACTATCGAAGTGAAAGTAGGTCACCCAGCAGCCTTAAAAAAAAAAAAATTATTTACAAAGCATCACAAAAACTCCACTTGAAGCAGAGTATTATAGCTCTGGGTTGATGCGGGACAAGCAGTGCCTAAAAGAACATCCTAGCAAGAAGGACTCAGAGTCACTGCTCAGTATGATGGAATGTGACATGCTGAATGCAGAAACACACTGCAAGAGGAGTGGTCATCCCAGAGGAAGCACTGAAATTCGCTGGGTGGAAATGCCTTCTCTTGTCATTTCTGTCAGGTTCACTGTGGGGACAATGTCCTCTTTCACAAAAGTGTCCAGCATGACTGAAGAAACAGGAACCAGAATGTGGATGTTTATGTTCTGGATACGGTCTCCAGTGAATTACAAAATGAAGTTCTGGAAACAAGGAGCAACCTCCATCACTGGGCCACCAGGCATCTTTGATGTGCTTGATTTCATAGCTAAGGCACAGGACTTTATACTCTCTAAGGAGGTTTCATTTAACTTAATAATCTTTATGCAAAGATTCTTTCCAAAATACAAATCTGGCTTTTTTAGTCTGTTGCTTAAAACTCTTCCATTTCCTGCATGGAGCACTGGGTGTTATATGAAAACAATGGATCGTAGATCACCACATCAAAAACCAATGATGTATTGTATGGTGACTAACATAACATAATAAAATTAAAAAAAAAAAACAACTCTTCCATTTCTCCCCAAAGCTTTCAAGTGGGAATCCGAAATCTGTAAGATAATATGAACAGCTCTTCATGGTCTGGTCTCTACAAACTCTTTAATCATTCTCTATCTTGTGGTAGTCAGTACTCCAAAAATACAGAACTACTTGCCGATGAAGAAAATAAAATACACCTTCTCTCACACCTTGTTCCATTCAGCATTCACCTGGCTAATTCCCCTTCTGTGGACTCTTCAGACTCAGTTCAGTATCATGTCCCCACCACCACCCTCCCAGTGCCCCAGTCTGGATTAGATGTTCTTCATATATCTCCCATAGAATTCATCATAGTCTATAATGATTGTCTCCTTGTCAGTCTGCCTTCCCAATTACTGGAGAGTAGAGACTGCATCTCTTGGTTCTTGTCTTACTCCTTTCAGGTTGCAATAACAAAAAGACCATAGACTGGGTGGCTTAAACAACATTTATTTCTCATGGTTATGGAGGCTGGGAAGTCCCAAGATCAAGTTGCTGATACATTCAGTGCCTGGTAAGGGTCTGTTCCTGGTTCATAGATGGCCATATTCTTGATATAATCTCACAGAATGGAAGGGGCAAAAGAGCTCTCTGGGATCTCTTTTATCAGGGTACTAATTTCATTCATGAGAATGGACTTCTCATGATTTCATCACCAAAGGCCCCACCTCCTAATACCATCACTTGAGGGGTTAGGATTTCAACACATGGATTTGGGGGGGACACATTCAGTCTACAGCAGCTCTATACCCCTAAATGGTGTTATGTACACAAAATGGTCCATAAATGTTTCCTGAATAAATTTGCTAATTACTTGTCCTAAAAATCTTGGAGGGGAAGGAGAAATGGTTGGTGGATAACAAAATTGAGCAGTAATGTTAGCAGGTGACTTGCCCAATTACATCATCACATTGACTTTTGAAAACTTCTTTAAAGATAGATTTGTCAACTGCAGAATCACAGCTATGCATGCAGTAAATGTTGGACTGTTTGTTGCCACTATTATAAATACAAAAACGCTACCACTCCTGCTTGTTATCTGAACGTAGGTGACCTTCATTGTTTCCCTACACAGTGTCTACGAATTTGCCAAAGACATGTATCTTCCTGAGTTCAAATATACAAATCTAAATTCAGCATGCTATGGGCAAGACTTCTTTTCCTCCTTAGCTTCCAGGATGATTTCTCCTTCATATTTTTATATAAATATTCGAGGGCATCAGCCCACACTTGTCTTATGGAAATAGAAGATATAATCCTGCTTCAGATTCACTGAGCTGAAGGTGAGAAATTGGAGAAATTGCATCTTTCATGCGTCCTTGCAGCCACCTGCTTCTCCCCATCCTGAGACTGGGGCAAGTTCTGTTTCTTTAGTGTGGGAAGGGATGCACGGGTGGCACAAAGGCTTTATGCAGCTCGATGCCTTTTTCACTTTAAAATCTAAATCATGCGGACTTTAAAGAGTGGGCAGAAAACCAGGATGAAATAATGACCAAAATTTCATGGAGGCAGAAACTGTCTATGCTGCACATCTAAAAATAGGATGCTCTAGGTCTATGATGTATCATACTGAAAACTTCTCGGCATGTTTGGTGATGAGGGCTTCTTAATCAAACTTGGGGGTGAGTTATTACATGCTTTTCCTGGGCCTTTATTTCAACAACAGTAAAAGGGTATTAACAGATGAGAACAGGGGCGCCTGGGTGGCTCAGTTGGTTAAGCGACTGCCTTCGGCTCAGGTCAGGATCCTGGAGTCCCGGGATCGAGTCCCGCGTCGGGCTCCCTGCTCGGCGGGGAGTCTGCTTCTCCCTCTGACCCTCCTCCCTCTCATGCTCTCTGTCTCTCATTCTCTCTGTCTCAAATAAATAAATAAAATCTTTAAAAAAAAAAAAAAACAGATGAGAACATAGTGGCTCTACTCCTTGCCTTCTTCTGTGTGCCCACGCGTTCAAAGAAAACTCTGACTCAAAGAGGTCAGCTGGTAAACACAGGTCAATCTTCACCTCCTCCCACAGAAAGAAGTCAACAGTCACCAGATGGCATCAGGTCAGGAATCCAGGGAGTGTATTTAAATAAAAGAGGAAGATGCAGGCACTTGGTTTAATTTTTATTGTTTATTGCTGGCTGCCTTTCTTCTGAACTACCTTTAACAAAATCGATGCAAAAATCAAAAGATCAATTCAATAGGTGCAGTCTTTATGCTTTAGAAGCTTAAAGTCTGAATATTTCATTAAAAATGACATTTTCCAT